TTTAAAGCTCCTTTTGAAATAATAATAATAATAATAATAATAGAATTATAATACAAGAAAACATACCATGTTTACAAAATCCTCTGGCATACCAAGCACATTCTTTAATTTTGCTTTCAGGGTCAATGTGCAAATACATACAGTCTTCATTACTACACTCTCCGTATCTTGAATAAAACCAACATTCAGGCATTTTTCTCATATTAAACTCATGAAGGAACTCGCATTGATCTCCTTTCTTGCAAAGTCCTCGCAGCCAATGCTTACATACAACCGCTTTTTCACGAAAATTTGTTGTGTGCTTAAATTCGCATTTTGGACCTTTAGTACATGTACCTCTCAAAAAATCTTGACATATTTGATCTTTTCATAAAGAGGAAAAAACAGGGTTAGATTTTGAAAAAAGGTAAAGCTGTAAATTATAACAATGGAGACAACAGTGAAAAAACGAATAAATGGAAGAAAATGTTAGCAAAGAAATGGCAAACACTCTTGGAGAATTTTACCAAAGCTCTACCTGACTCGTTGTTTGCTCCTAGGCCTAGCTCTGTTCTGATGTAATCTTCGAAATCGAAAGAATAATTATTAGCAAAAACGTGAAAGTCTGGCATTGTTTTTAAAAGAAAAAAATAAAAAGTATATGACGAATTGAGAAAATTGAGCTTTTGATCACGATCATATTGTATTACAAAATTGCATTAATAATGCAATAATGTGACCTATTATCTAATCATGTGGATATATTTTTTTACCGAAAAGTATCACTAAGAGTGATCGAGAGTTTAAAGAAGCTATGACGTATTAACAATAGCATTCCGATGCGTGATGAGGTTCAGTACATGCATTTTAATTTAAGGGTATATTGTTTGATCTGTCAGAAGAATACCGTTATTTGGAAAAAATTAGCGTTTATTGAATCCTTGGCAGTGTCCAGCTATCCTTAGAAACTAAAATAAACTAAACTAATGCTATAGCGACAATTAATTTTATTTTTGGGTTACGTATCGTGATATTATTACTATATAGGGCTATTTTAGATGCTATTACTATAGATAACTGGATATTAATTCTTGCCAGTGAAGCTGATTTGAAACTTTGTCTATTAAAAAAAACGAAACTTCATTTATGCGGGATTTTTTTTTAATTACCCGCTTTATTCCACTTT